GGTGCTTCCTGGAATTCCACGGCTCTCTTGTTGGCCAGGTCTGCCTTGTTACCGGCCAGGGCGATGACGATGTTGGGACTGGCCTGCCTCTGTAACTCCTTCACCCAGTTCTCGGCCCGTGCAAACGTATCTGTGTTGGTGATGTCGTAGACCATGATGGCAGCCTGGACCCCCCGATAGTACATGGGGGCAAGGCTGTGATACCGCTCCTGTCCAGCTGTGTCCCAGATCTCAAACTTGACTGTTGTGTCGTCCAAGCAGACAGTCTGTGTGAGGAAGGCCGCCCCAATTGTGCTCTCCTGGTACTCGTGGAATTGTCCCTTGACAAAGTGGAGGACAAGGCTGGATTTGCCTACTGCAGACTCCCCCAGCAGGACCAGCTTAAACTGACAGATCTTGTTCCCAGCAGCTGGTCCATTGGGTCGTGCTGCACCTCCCTGACCCACCATGGCCCGTCCTGCTGTAGCGGTACCAGTGAGTGTGAGGGCAGGGGCCGGTGCTAAGCAAAGAGGCACTTAGTGGGAAGGGGGGCCTCCAAGGCGGCTTTGGGGCGGCGGCGTTACTTGGGGCCAGGGCTCGGACGGGCTCCACTCTTCTCCCCCACCGCGGAGTTTCCGGCCTCCCTAAAAAATATTTTTTATTGCTAGGTTCTCTTGCCCTCTTATTTTTATAGTAGAGGCCCGATGCATGAAATTTGTGCACTTGGTGGGGGGGTCCCTCAGCCCAGATTGCAAGAGGGCACAGGCCAGGCAAAGGGACCCCACCAGTGCATGATCGTGGCTGGGGAGGGACGTAGGAGATTGGCCAGTCGGGAAGGGACTGCAAGAGGGCTCCCAGGCCTGTCTCCTCTGGCCTGTCTCGTCTTGCTCAGTCCTGATTGGCCGGACCCCAGCAGCAAGCTAACCTACCTGAGGGGCGTCTTCCCCCTGGTGGTCAGTGCAAGTCATAGTGAGTGGTTGAGCGACCTTAGCATATCATTAGCATATTACTCTTTGGTTGAATGGATGACCAAATGACTGGACACTTAGCATATTAGCTTTTTATTATATAGGATTTCAGAGACGCAGTTCAGAGCTTGGGTGTCTGGGTGGTAGAGAGTCTGGAAAAGTGCTTTGGGGTTGTGGGTAGGGAATTGGGCATTTTACCCACTTCCTTTTTGGTCTTTAGGGAACTAAGGTGCTTTGGGGAACTGTTTTTTAACTTTTAAAATTTTTATCTATGTATATAAAAGGTTAATATGCAAAGTGTCCCCTCAGGAATTTGACTGGGAGACCGGGAGTTCGATCACTCAGTATGATGCACACTGAACACCAGGGGATAGCACGGAACGAAGGAAGGCCCTGGCCGGCACCTGGGGAAGGAAGGCCCTGATTGGCCCTGATCGCTGGGCAGGCCTAAGGACCCTACCCATGCACGAATTTCATGCACTAGGCCTCTAGTTTAAGTATAGTCGGTATACAATCTTATATTGGTTATATTGGTTTCAGGTGTACCATATAGTGATTTGACATCTGTATATGTTACAGTGTGATCACCCCACTAATTCTAGTAATCATCTTTCACCGTATGAACTTATTGCAATATTATTGACTATATTCCCTTTTCCTTCTCACTCATCCTCTCTGTTTTTGAAGGAAAGTCCTGCTCCTCTCTCCTGGGGCAGCTCCTCCAAGTAGAAGAGCTAACTGGTTATTCCTGGGAAAGCACAGACAATATCATTACAACCTTCCTATATTAGGTGTTTACAGTGCTCCAGGTGTCTTATCTATAAGGAAAGATATTATCTCCATTTTCTGGATGAGAAAACTGAAGCTCAGGGAGGCTGTGTATACTTTGCTTAAATTTCACGCACTATTAAGTGTCACAGCCGGGATGTTAATGGAGGTCGTCTAATCAGAGCCCGAGTTCTTCTCACTCCAAGTTTGCACTGGGCTTTAGTTTACAAAGCACTTTAACGTACATTGTTATATTTGCTGACCATAGCGTTCCCCAATGAAGTGGGTGTTGTGACCGTCATTTTAGAGATGGGAAAATGGAGTTTTCAAAAGGTTATGCAGCTTGTCTGTCCTCAGTGTCATACAGCTACTGACGGGTGAAGCTGAGCCTCAAACCCAAAACCTGTATAATAAAAAGAGAATTTCATCTACAAACCTCATCGGATATGCATACACTTAGAAGGAATGAAAGAAAAAAAAATCCCCTGTCTTAGTTTCTCCAGTGTGACTGAAAATGGAAGAATGGACATGGAGGCCCACTCGGACTTACTCTCCTGCTGGTGTCTTTGATAAGCCATAGTGAGCCCTTATGTACAACCAAGGCCACCCTCTGGGGCACAGTCATACTATTAATAAAAAAATTGGGGTAATTTTACATTTCCCCCCTCATTTATATGTTTCTGCATTTTAAAAATCCTTTGCAGTAAACCCATATTACTTATCTAAGAAAATAAGTTAGTTTGTAAAACAAGAACATACATTTGTTGTCCAGAGATAGATGCATCTGGCCAGTCTTAGTAGCATCACAAGACCCAGAGCAAAAATACATATGGTTTCTTAAAAGCTACCAATATTGCAATTTGAATGTACTTTCAAGTCGGACTCTGCCCCAGAGGGTGGTCTTTTATACAGATTTTGGGTTTGAGGCTCAGCTCCACCCGTCACTAGCTGTATGACACAAGAGACAGAGAAGCTGCGTAAACTTTATTCTCCAAGTTCCCTCCCTGCGGGGCCCCCAACAGCTGGCTTCATCCAGAGGTTTCAGCTCAAGTAAGGTAGCCCTCTCCTCAGTTCTGTCTCCCCAATTCCTGTACGCCACTCCCTCAGCCCTGGCCGGTGTTCTCAGTGGTTAGAGCATCAGTGGTTAGTGGCAACCAATTGATGTGTCTCACTCACGTCAATATTTCTCTCTCTCTCTCTCTCTCTCTCTCTCTCTCTCTCTCTCTCTCTCTCTCTCTCTCTCTCTCTCTCTCTCTCTCTCTCTCTCTCTCTCTCTCTCTCTCTCTCTCTCTCTCTCTCTCTCTCTCTCTATTTTTCTCTCTCTCTCTCCCTAACCCCATCCAATCTCTCAGAACCCCTTACTCCCCTCAGCAGAACCCCACTCATGAATCATTGTGTTTTAATGACCACTACCAGCTGCAGACACAGCTGGGAAATGTTTCCAACCTCTGCAGTGTTAGTTGACTAGAAGAGAGGGATTTGGGAATGACTGTTGCGTCAGCCAACTGATACTTGCCAAGGTCAAGTGCTGGTCTGAATTTGACCCAGCCAGCCTGTTTCACACAGGGCTAATACCCATCAGCTGGGAATTGCTGTTTCTCACATCTCTGGCTGAGACGAGAAGTGGCCTGGAGCCTGTCACACCTCATCTCTCATGGAATATAACACCATCTAACACATGCTAACATTTGTCATCAATATTAGTGTCACTGCAAAGTGCTATTGAAATAGAAGTGGTTTCATACATTATTTATCTGCAATGTGTCCATTGGGCCATTCTTCTGCTGGAGAACACTTCCTTGGCATTTATAAACTGAGTGACAAATCTGCAGCTCCCTGGCTCCGTACCCTTAGGTCAGTGGTCGGCAAACTCATTAGTCAACAGAGCCAAATATCAACAGTACAACGATTGAAATTTCTTTTGAGAGCCAAATTTTTAAAACTTAAACTATATAGGTAGGTACATTGTTATTAACTTAATTAGGGTACTCCTAAGGCTTAGGAAGAGCCACACTCAAGGGACCAAAGAGCCGCATGTGGCTCGTGAGCAGCAGTTTGCCGACCACTGCCTTAGGCTGTGGCAGAGGGAGGGGAGGGTCGGTGAGCTGTTTGGGCTGAAACAAGTTGCTATATCTCAGCGGTTCTCAACCTGTGGGTCGCCAACCTGTGGGTCGCGACCCCTTTGGGGGTCGAACGACCCTTTCACAGGGGTTGCCTAAGACCATCAGAAAACACATATATAATTACATATTGTCCTCTCGGCCCTGAGCACATTCATTACGTTTCTGGTTGCAGGTGAGCGGGGCTAGGGGCTGAGCAGTGGACATTCTGAAAAATGATGGCTGTACCCCACTTCATGAAAATCTTCCATTACGTAGTAGGGGCCCCAAATGATCCATCATTTATTAGCACCTTTCAATTGTGGTTACCTCCAGAGAAGAAATCTAACATATCAATTTATAGGAGTATTTTGTTCAGGGCTGGGACTAGGGTGGGGTGAGGGGGAGACCTCGGATCCAAAATGCGAGGAGTTGTTCAATTTCATGGTTGTGAAGCTTTTGCATGGTCCTGTTTTTTATTAAACAATTGAACATCATTTATTTATTTTTTAAAGTTTCCAGACATATATATTTTATTGAAAACATTTTTAATTGAATTTATTGGGGTGACGTTGGTTAAATTATATAGGTTTCAGGTGCACAAGTCTATAATACATCATCAGCGTAGTGTATTGTGTGTTCGCCACCCAGGTCCTGGTTTCGTTTTGGAATATTTAAAAATTGGGATAAGTCAACGATTGTTTTCTAGTCACTGTTCTAGTCACTGGGGATACAGTAATGAATAAAATAGTCAGTTCTGTTCTTATGATACTGACAGTGTGGTAAAGGGGAGATTTCATATAAAAATCTAGACCTCGGCCCTATTCTGAATTGTTAGAGCGCCAGACAAAGGATTGTGACAGCCAATTGATGTGTCCCTCTTACATTGATGTTCCCCCCATCCCCCTCTCTCAAATTCAGTGGAAAAAATCTCCTCAGGTGAGGATAAAAAAGAGAAATCTGGATGTCTAGCTTCCTGAGGTAACAGAGGAACTAGACTCTGGGCTGGGTTTTCTTCATGACAATTATCACTTGGGTCTGGGGAGCCTCTGCTTCCCTTTTAGATGAGGCATGAGCTCTGTAGTTCACCACGCTCCCCACCACTCCCTATTGTCTCATATGATCCTCAGGGGATCTCTGTGGAGTGCATTTATTATTATCATTGCCACTTTTCAAATGAAGAAACTGAGGCTCAGAAAGGTAAAATGACTGGCCTGAGGTCTTCTAGCTACAGAAGGGGGAGTGGGATATGAACCCAATTCTATGTGACTTCAGAAGTTGAGGTTTAGGTCACTGTGCAGAGCAGATTCAGGTGGCGGGCACACAGAAATGCCAGCGAGCAGAAACATTCAACCCATATAAGATCAAATTTGCAAGGCGTATGAGCAGGAAACAGATGGCACCCTATTTACAAAGGTGTGGGCAGAGTGTAGGGGGACAGCAAGGCATAGTTCAGGACCCCAGATCAGTAATAGTAAGGCTCCATTACCACCCCTAAGCCTTTGGGGGCAGTTGAGGGAGTAGGTTACAGGAATTGGGGAGACAACTGAGGAGAGGGCTGCCTTACTTGAGCTGAGACCTCTGGATGCAGCCAGCCCTTGGGGACCCCACAGGGAGGGAACCTGGAGAATAAATACCCCAACCTCACCAAGTTCTCTCTATTCCTTCCTATTGATCTCCTGCCAGTGCCAAACCCACCTAGAAGTCAGAGGCTCTGACTTCTACAGGCTCTGGGGGGCACAAAGCAGGGAGAAGAAGGGAGAGCATCTCATTGGGGACAAATAAAGGCATCTAGCACAA